CTCATGTGACATATGATAGACTTGTTGTTGCTTTGTTGCTCGCAGACTGAGGCTACTGCCTCTGACATTTCTAGGATTTAGTTGTTCTGCTTTTGCTGTTCTTAGGACTTATACAGTAGTCAGTTGTTACCAGACTGAGGCTAGTGCCTCCAACATTCTAGGACATGTATGCTAGATAGTTGCTTTTGCTTTCCTAGGACATGTATGTTAGTTAGTTGCTTCTGCTTTCACTTAGGCTGTTAGCTGTAACATTGCTGTTTTGTGACATTTTATATCCTAGGTTGCATCGCATGGACTCAACATGGAGCTTGCTCCGCATCCTAGACTACTCAGGTTTTCTTTTCTTTGGTAGAGTTCCGCTTCTTGGCGGAAGCATGTTTGTATCTAGGCGATCCATCACAGCCGAGGATCGTGTAGCGGACCTCGGGTTGGCCTGTGAGACCAGCCCCTTGGCCTGTTCTCACAGGCCTGTGTTGTATTCGGGGTAGGCCAGTCCAGGCCGGTACCTCTGTCGGTACCAGCCAGTCCAGTCCAGTCCCGTCAGTCCGCTGGGGTATACCCCAGCCATTGTCTGTTTCCAGTCTCATTCTTCACTTGCACATTTTTGGAGTACGTGTGTTGGAGTCCTGCGTGGGAGCTGCGCTGTGCGTCATCTTGCTGCCCCCCTTCTTCCTCCATCTCCATCTCTATCACTAGCGGAGCACCACACCTGGTGGGTCCGCTACATACACTGACGACCTTGCAATGAATCTTAGTTAGGATTTGTTGTCGGTGAATTTTTGTCCTGGCTTGATCGCTGTGTTTGCCTTCCTGTTGGGTTGTTGGTCGTTAGGTTAAAGAGGTGTTTGCTGATAGCCTTCGAGTTGTGGGCCGTAGTTGGCTCGTTGGTAAAATTGCTGTTGGTTTCAATGGTGCTTGAGTGCTGAGTCTCTGGTTTTGCTTTGCAGTTGCTACCTTGGCAAGTTGGGCGTATGTACTGTTAGCTCTGATTAACAGCTCTGGTTCCTGCTGCGCAGTTAGTAGTTAGTGGTTAGGGCGTTTTTTTGCTGTAACAGTTATGGGTTCAGTTGAAGCGCTCCAGTCTATTTTTGTTAGTCAGGAGGTTAATTTTGTTTTGGATTGGATGGGTAATTGCCCGTTGGTTGATTGGCGCTAATCTGGAGTCCGCTTAACCTTCTTGGAATGGGTGATAGTAATCAGGGTTTGGTTCATGATGCTGGTCCTGGTAGGATTTGAGTTTTGTTAAATTAGGGAACACAAATTTTGTTTTAGGGTTGGGATTGGGATCACCGGTTTATGTAACCTTGGTTGGTGGAGTTTAGGTTTTTTTTTTTTTTTTTTTTTTTTTTTTTTTTTTTTTTTTTGAAAGGCTAATTTTTTAAGCCCAACCAATTCAATTACCTGCCGAATCTGGACAGGACGGCCTTGATAATGGTGGTTTGAGGATTTGACTTTTGTTAAATTAGGGAACGTGAATTTCGTTTTAGGGTTGGGATTGGGAATATCGAACTCGTGACCTTGTGAGGCTGTGGTGGGGATAGGTTTGGCCGGGAGTGCCTTACTTAGCCCATTTGACCGCAGCAAATTATGTAGGGAACACCGGGCCCGTTTCCCGGCTATATGAATATGTTCTTTTTAAAAAAAAAAAAGAAAAAGAAAAAAAAAGTTGTTCAGTTTATTTTTCTGCATAACATAGTTTTTTTTCGATTTTTTTGATTTTTTTTGTTTTTATTATTATTTTGCTGGGACCTTCCCTGGTCCTTGCACGGGCTGGCCACCCGGGACTGGGCGGCCCTGCTGGTAGCCTAGGTTAAAAAAATATATATATATATAGCGTTGTAGGGCTTGGAAAACCCTACAATCCTATTTTTTTTATTTTGGAATCTGACTTCGTTTAAGATTTTTAAGAAATGAAAAACGAAATTCGATTTAAATAATTATTTAAAAAAATAATAAAAAGAAAAGCAGGATTTTTTTTTTTGTCAATTTTTATCATGAGGAATATGGTGGCTGAGTTGTCCTGTACATTTTTGAGAAATGGTTTTCGGGTTTTTGTGGGAAATTGGGTGTTTATAAAAAATTAAGATGCAAAACTCCGCAACCTTGCGCATGGACACCGGCAGGGCGTTAGAATGACGCACGGCTGGACTCACACACCCCTGGGCTGACGCATGGTACTATTACAGACACTGCCTGCGTACCACCCGGGGGTCAGTCCATGGGTGTTGTATGCTGGCCTAGACTTCACGTTGGTTGCTGGTTGTTGTTGGCTTTGGTCTCTCTGATGATCTCCCCCAGCCCAGACATTACACACATTATATCCACTTCCTATGGAAGTACATGTGGTAGAACCCTCCAGTTTCATACTGTAGGAAACAGGTTCAAGTCCGGTTTCGGAGAACTCAGCGACCATATTCCTCATGAGGAGAAGGCAGATAAAAAAAATAAAAATAAAAAACTCTAATAATGGGCCTCACCTTCCTGTAAAACTCTTGAGAACGAAAAAAAAAACACTCTTGAGGTAGCTTGTCTTTTTTGTCTTTCCTCCTTTTGCGTGCTTTTGTGTCTGGGTGCATTCTCTGTGTGAATCTGTATGGGTGCGTCTTGTTTTCTGTTTGTATGCATTTTCTGTGTGAATCTGTATGTGTGCGTGTTTTCTGTTCGTATGCTTTTCTGTGTGAATTTTTATGTGTATTTTCTGTTGCTATGTACTTCTTCTTCTTCATTTTTATTTTTTATTTTTTATTTTATTTTTTTCAGAATGGGCCATGGTCTTCAGATATCATCATCATCATTGCGTTGACCGGCCCCAGTTAATTCAGAATTATTTTATTCTGTTCATCTGACGGCAGCTGGATTCGAACTTGGGTCTGTATGTCAACAGACTTCCTGCATGGGTTGTACCAACTGAGCTAGGCCCGTTGGTCCACGTACTTTCTTCTCAATCGTTAGGCGTATGTTTTCCGTTGTCATGTAACCCTCCTCCCCCCCCCGCACTCTCTCTCTCTCTCTCTCTCTCTCTCTCTCTCTCTCTCTCTCTCTCCACACACACAGACACACACACACACACATGCAGGATGACATGCGCATTTCTCCTGACAGTGTATGTCTGTCGGACCTTTTGTCATGCACGAGGTTCTGGTTCCTATGTCGTTATATATCTTCTCATCCTGCTTTTTCTTTTT